ATTATACTACAATCGAAATCCCCTAAATCTATATTTTGAAAATACAATTTTGACCAATTTGTCGCGAAATGGAAATGTTTGCGTATTTTCGATATGAGATATATTAATAGTCATGATATTATTCTGATAATTAAGGAGATCATTTTTGTTACCGATCCATTGTATCCTATTAAATATATATTTTAATGTGTGGCAGTGTATGATACTAAAATAACGACGCATATTTTATTTAAAATATTAAACCCTTGCTAGCAGATATTTTGCCCTCCGATTCTGTCAATTTTGTTTAAATATGATCAACGGCCTTGATATATATTTCAAAACAAGCTCAGAATAATATAATGCGAGTAATAATATAATAATGAAAGTAAAACTATAGAGATTTGGAATTTTTCTTCCCAAGTTCCTAAAATATATCCGGCCTGATAATAAATTATTAAATGTACGTTACCTTGTTAAACATTTAAAAGAATTTATTTACATGTTCAAAGCTGATAAAGGCAAAAATAATTTAATAATAAATAATAGATTAATTATTCTGGATTTTCTCAGTCTCTATTTTTGGCAAGTATTATATATTAGGACGATATGTATCCATTAGTACCTATAACATTTTTAAAGAACATAAAATTGCATTTGTTCGATAGGAGCTCTTAAGAAGCGGACTTTCACGACAAAACCAAAAAGTACAGGGTGAGCCAAATTGAACAGATTTAAAGGCATAAAGTCTTTTTTCTAAAGGAGATTAAGTATTATATTTTTTTTAAATTAATCATTAAAGAGTTATCAACAGAAAAAATTATGTTTTTATATAGGACACCCTGTACATTTTTAATTCATTGAAAAGAACTTCAAATTTGCACGATTCCTTTTCGAAACAGTAGTGTTTTTTAAAATTCCCCCCCTTTGACTCGAACAAAACATAAAGTCTGCTATATTTTTTAAAAGGAAATTTTAAGATCTCTTTTCGGCGGGTGTCCCATATAAAAAAATCACTTTTTCTGTTGATAACTCTTAAATCATTAAATTTAAATAAATTATACTCAAACCATTAAATTCTACGTAAAAAGGTGCTTTAGAAATGTTCTTATAAAAACACGAAATTTTCCATTGAAATGAAAAAAAAAATTGAAAAACGCCCCTATCATCCAAACGGTAGCATATTTGGATGTTAATGTTCTTGATAAAAAATGAGTAGACGCCGATATTAGGTCTTCTTTAGAAAAGGGTGTTTCCCTTTAAAAGTGCTCAATTTGGCCCACCCTGTACAATGGACCAAAAGTACTACATACATACAATTACACGTGACCTAGCCAACAGTTATTGAAAAGTGGTGGATACTACTCTTATTTCTTGGTATACTTATACCAAGAAATAAGAGCCGAACTCATACTAAAAATTGAATTCGAGACGAAGACCAACTTTTGAAGAATCAGTTTGTTTCATTTTCTAAATAAGTCCTAACGCAGTTTTAGCAAATGATGTAAAACTCAACTGTTACAATGTTACAACTCACTAATTCAAAATTCATAGGATTTCGTTCCAATATCGTAAGCATTTCGTATGCCTAGGTAATAAAAAGAACTCTATTGGTACATCTAATTGGATTTACATTCGACACTTTTATCTACTCGGTTCTTCTTTATCGCTAATTTAAATGTACTTTTTAAAAGGATTGCAATTTTCTCCCAGCTTGTTCAAACAAGTATTTACAAAGAAAGCGCTCTTTCCCCTTTTTTATTCCTTATACTATAAATTAACCAGCATTGCGAGTTGTGTAAAAACTAAAGAAATTAAGGTGTAACAAGCCCACGTCTTGCCTATAAAGTAGCTGTTTCCCTTCTAAATACAACACAACACGGTTGGAGCGAATGAAACATAAAACTCCACTAAAGGATAATGACCTAATTCCAGAAGGATTTCACTCAAGATTTAGCGGTGGAAATGTGTCCGCTTCTAGAACCCACAAAACCGAAGTAAGATCTTAATTATAACGCTATAAAGCAAAAACTCAACACTATTCTAGGGAAGTCAAAGATTAAGGAAACTTCTTGTCCATTAGAAAAAATCTACATTTCAAATCCAGTTAATTCTTCTCTGCTACTAGACTAAATAAAATGTATAACTCAGCTAGTTTCAAGCATTGAATTCTTTTTCTTATAAACATTTAAGAATAAAGGGAATGTATTTTCTAGGTTGTATTCATTTCATAAAATAAGCATTGCTAGGAGGTGAGCCGGTAGTAGAAATAGTAGTATTTATTATTCAACCAGTTTTAAGGAAATGTAATATACTTTATTATTCTAAGGTACATATACGTATATATTTCTAAACTATTTTATTTTTATGATAGGCAAATAAAGAAATATCAATATTTCAATACACAAAAGGATAGAATGTAGATTTATTTTTTACTTTAAGGTCTCGACTTCTTTTAAGTCAATTTTGCGGAATCACCTGTTAAGAGTTTTAAAATAAAACAGTCAAGCCATAAATAATCTTCTTTAGTAGATTAAATTAAAATGTTACATAGAAAGTTTTTAAATGCAAGGGCAAAACTCTCGAATATTTTCTCGTTCTACTAGATACCATGTTTTACATTATCCTTCTAAATTAAATAAGTAATTATGCAGTACCATTTTTCTAAAGACGAAATGCAGTTACAAGATACCTTAAATACATACTGCATCTCTGTATCTTACATCTAAGCAATTATGTAAATAGTTCGGCATAAATCTTATTTATTAATAAATATGGAAATTTCAAAGCCTCAAATGTTAGACTACCTATATGTATACATAATATCCTTACAATAAGGTTGTGGAGAAATGAAATTTTCGATGTTGAAGTTAAAATTAGGTTAGAAATTGCTAGGTAACCAGACATCTCTTGAATTTCTTCAAGATATATTATTTGTATCAAACTTAATTAATTCAAGTCTAACTTAAAAACAAATAAAAGATTTACTAAGAATTTGGAGAATAAAATTAGAGATAGAAGAAGAGCAGAATCGAGTTTATCCTTAATTCTGAATAACGCCCCTTTCCAGGACTCGCTTTTTTCTTTGTGTTTTTAATTTTTATTGTATTACTAACATATTTTGTCTTCCCCTAGGAGATCGAGACCTTGCCGTTGATGGGGAAGCTCCCAATCGGGGACCAGGGGGAATCCCCTCTGGCACTTTTGCTGGGTTTAAGAAGCATGTCGCTGTCATACCAAGTACCCTATACTGTCTGTGGCCATGTCTTACTGGCAGGGGGTGTGACTACCTAGCAACACTGAGAACATTAACAGTGCAAGTTCCACTACACTACAGGATAGGCAGCTAATACTTGCGCGATACCAGCCTCCCACTAGTTTCCACCTCCTCTAGTAAGGGTCGGGAGCCTACCTCTAGACCCAATAACCTACACAAGCTACTGTTTCCTCTACCCGGCCTGGGTCAACCAGGTGGACTACCAGGTACCCGCTGAGAGTAGATCTCAGCGGAGCAAATGTACGGAGATACCTCCGACTTCTCCATGAAGGATTTGGTCTCGAGGAAGCAAAAGTAAAAACATTTCTCGAAAAAGGAAAGAGTAAAGGAATCAAGAAACAGCCTGGTGCATCTTCAGCATATCTTGGTCCAGAGCCAGTACTGGGAATACCCAAATGTATGCCCGTAGTGTATTAAAACTCTGGATCAGGGAAAAGCAGAATGTCCACTGGAGAAACAGACAGGGGCACAAGCACAGCAAGGCTTTTATCCAAGGACCTTGCTCTAAAACCGCAAAAGAACTGCTAATGCTTAGCAGGAATAAATTGCGGATTACAACAGGCCTCTTGACAGGACATATAGCTGTCAAGTGTTACCTGAACAAGCTCAACCTGTATCAAGGAAGTCTTTGCTGCAGACTCTGCGATAAAGATCCTGAAACAGCAGAGCACATAATATGTCACTGCGAGGCTCTGGATCGCATCTTTTTATTTGGGAAAGCTAGGCCAGAACCGGAGGAACTATGCACCCGTCCTATCAAGGACCTGCATAAGTTAGTGCAGGGCACAGGGATAGGAGAATGGGTGCAGATATAGAAAGGGGACAAACACAATAGGCCTCACAGGTCGCAGTGTTTCCGGCAGAGGACGGCCCCTTATTGTGAAAAAAAAATCTTCAGCAAAGTGCAAGAGAGGGAGCGAGAACCTCTCGCTTCTGCTTCGGCAAGGAGAGAAAAAGCCAGGATGGAAAGCCGTCCAATGTAAGGACATCGAATAGGCCAGTCATCAATTAGAGGGAGGGGGGCCATGGTCAGGTCCTCACAATAGGAATTGCGCTCAAATCTAAGGAGGCAATAGAGAAAGAGGGATATATCCTCTATTATAGATTCGGGACAACACCGGTATCAGTACTAAGGAGAAACCAAGTTGAGGAGGTGGAGAATATGGAGACAGATCCTCCAGCTTCCACCTCACAGGTACTTCAGATGGAGACAAGCTTCTCGATTTTGAAGGGCACGGTGAGCCAAACCCCAAACGTGGAAGAGTGTATACCCTCGGAGAAAGAATACCTGTTGTCAGAGGATGATGGAAAATACCCTGTATGTCTGATGAGTCATAACTCAAGAAAGGGGACGCAATAGATCTTTAATGTTGCGATGATTAACCCTCTTCTCACTCATTCTACATTCTACAACATATTTTGTGTTGTTTTAAGTTTGTACTTAAATTTATTTTTATTTCTTTTAGAATAATATTTACTACGGCATTTAAAAAATACGATATTTATAAATGTTTTATTAACAAAATGTTACTAAAGCGGCAAGTAAAAAAGATTTACCTAGTTTGTATTTATAGAAGTATACATTTGGGTACATTAGAAACCCTCGGAAAACAAGGCTAGTGTTTGAGGGGCGCTTTGTTAATGCACCTTTATCCCGTAAAGGTCTAGCAATTTCCTACCTTATACATAGTTGGGGACATAGCTGACATAAGGACAGGGAATATCAACTAATTGTAATACTTACGCCCTTCGTCTGTAATTATTAGTAATGTAGTATTTGGACCGTATCCCTCGGGGTTGAATACGCTCAGGCCGACGTGGTATTCGGTGTGAGGCAGCAGGTTTGCGATTATGTGTTTCTGTAACAAAATTAACAGAATCGATCTTAAAAGAGGCCACAGGCAAGTCGCTCGTTATATCATTACTACTCTTGTTGTTCTCTCAAATAGAATTGCTTTATCGCTAGGAGAATATTTTACATCAATTAGTTTATTAGCAATCTGGAAGTAATCTCTATTAATATAATTATTTTTGTACTTTTTATGGTACAAGGTGTCCTACTAAGGATAGCTCTCGGCTATATCTCGGAACGTATTAGCCGTAGACCTGCGGAAAAAATACTTTCCGAAAGCTATTCTTAGTAGGACACCTTGTACTTTGAGACCCTTACTTGTTTTGCACTGAAAGAATCCGAATATCTATTTATTAGAGTAACTAATTTCCAACTTTTTAATTTAGATATAGTATTTTGTTAATTTTTTCTCTCTTTTTTTTCTTGTCTTTGAGTATTTTATTTATTTATTTTATATTTTTACATTGATTTTTATATCATTTATATATTTATATATTTTCAAATACCTACAGGGCTGTGCGACACAAAAACATTTACTGATTTTGTTTATCGGTTTTTCTTATAGATGTTTCTTTTTTATTTAATGTGTATATTAAGTTTTAAAAAAGGTAAATAAACTATTTGAACTGGAATTATTAAAATATATACCAAAGTAGCAAAAACTAAAGTAATGTACAACGAACTAGTAGACAGAAAAGACATTCTAATAAATAACACAAAACTGGAAATAATAGAATACATATATTTGGGAAACCAACCGAAGAATTAAGTTAGCATGGAGTACTTATGGAAGAAATTCAATCATATTCAAATCTGGAATGCCATTTTATCTAAAGATGAAAACATTTGACCAATATGTACACTTAAAACATATATAACTGGACACTTAAAACGGACATTACAGGGAAACTGTAGGTCGCACAACGTACGATGGAACGAAATATCCTGGGAATAACCAAGAATGACCGTAAAATAATAATGTGGATACGACAAAAGACCCAGGAAATAGACGTCATCCACAGAATCAAATCCCTCAAGCGGCAATGGGCAGGACACCTGGCAAGAAGGACGGACAACAAATGGACCACAAAAATTACAACATGGTACCCATGAAAAATTAAGAGACCTAGAGGAAGACCAAACCTGAGATGGGACCATGATATTAGGAAATTAGCAAAGATAACTTGGGCCAGCATAGCCAACAATAGACAACAATGACAGTATCTAAATATGCATGAGGGGCTACACTATAATTGAATAAGCTGAGAATGATAATGATGATGATACAAAAGTGAAGTATTGTATTGTATAATACTTTTATATTTGATTCTAAAAAATGTTTATTACTGATACCTATTTAAAAGTATGTAATTTATGCAAAAAGTAATTTACAGAATTAGAAAATAACTTATGAGTTACAAAAAAAAAATTGATGTTATTCAGTTTGATATATCTTTTTATTTCGTTGTGTGAAATAAGAAGCCAGAAATACTTATTCCACTGAGTAAAGAAAAAAACTCTTTGTGTATAAAAAACCTTGTAATATATTAATACGGCGACTTGTTTCATGTCATTCGTATTTTGTCTTATTTATTTTTAATTTTCGTATTCTATTTTAGTATGTTTCATTATATATTATTCATAGATATACTCTATTATATTACTTTAGTATCTGTTCGATTTCAATTACACATTCTTCACATATTGTTTTAAAAATAACATAATTGATAGAGAAATTCCATTTTCCAGACTGATTTATTGGTTCCCTCGCTTTTTATTGAATAATCCAATCTTACATTAATAATATATTTCTTATTTTATGCTTAACTTTTTTTTATGAATTTTTATTATGGATTTTTAAATGCAATTATTGTAGGATAAGCAGAACAACTTCCATGTATAATTGCGGTATATAATATTTAATTTAAAATTGATACTTTTACTGTTTTATATTCAAAAATACGTTGAAAACTCATTTATAAAGCATCTATTAAACCAACGCTACATATTCAATTCTATGAATTGATTGATTAACAGAGAATCTGTAATTATCAATTAACATTAATACTATTATAATAATGATGTGTTTTATTTAGATTAAACGCAAATACAATGCTAATGTACATTAACGTATTATCCTAGCTATTTATTGATGAATTTTATCAATCCCAGCCATATATTTTACCAAAGTAAATATTTTTAGGTGTATAGAACGAATTTGGCAAATTGGAGTGATTCGTAGAATAGCTCGAACCACTAAAACAAACACAATCAGTCAGGTAATTCTAATTAGAATACACAAAAGCAAAGAACACATTTATACATTAATTTAAATAAAAATTGAACACCGAATGCTGCTACCGTCTGGTATAAATTTCCGTTTCCCAAAAGGGCTTGCCACTAATTATACCCTAGAATCTTAATTAGCCTCTTTGGGGGATGTCTGAACATGATTTTGAGACGATTTGCCCAAATAAAATTATGTTTCTGCATTTTGAATGTCACTTCTTTTATTCTCTTCCTTTTTGCATTTAATCCTTATGTGAAAACTTCAAATCAATCAATTCTGTATCATTTTAACGACCGGGACGTTTAAAAAGTAAACATTAATTATAAATTATGATTTTACAACTTTATTGGTTTAATGCCAGCTACTTAAAAGAAAGAATTTAATGTAGAACTTTCCGCCAAATATATTTAAGCGAGTGAAATGGCATCTGTTAATAAGTGCTTGGCTTTTATGCTTAAGAAGTACTTCTTCCAGATTGAGTCGAGGGCCAGTAATAAAGTTATACGTTTAAAAAGAACATTTTCCAATCCTGTAATATTACCGTTATATGGCAAATACCATTAACCAACCAATAATTCTTTAGTTACAAAGTTACAATTTTGAAGCCATTTGCCAATGTATTATCGTAAATGTTAAAGTTTTATATTTAAATTTATTACCCTAGAGCTTTAAACAGTTAACGTTCGCTTACAGGCAATTCCGTAATAAAAAATATATAGCTTCATTTATAACAGAATATATAACTGTTGTCTCTGTCGTCTCGCCATAATCGTTCTTGTAATTATCCTTAAATCCCACAGTGCCACATCTTCATGCCATATGTTTAAAACATGTAAAAATATCAGTTTACTCAATGCTAAAACATAATATATATTACAATTTTAAAATGGGTTTCTGTCCTACAAAATATCTGTTCGAAATACTAAATTCGTTAAAATGAAACCTTTTCTCTCTAAAAAGAAACTAACTTGATGTTATTCTAAAGACACAGTCCTCAGAATGAATCCATGCGTTATTGATTTAACATAACAATATCTGCACTGGAGAGAACCAAAGTTTAAATGCAAAATGTTAATGTATTTATAAGCGAAATTTAGGATTTTACATTAAGGAGATAGCTATGTTAAAATTAATTAAATTTTCACGAATTAGGTAAACAAGGTAAAGTTTTAATAATTTTCACACTTTCTGTAGATAGTTTTATATAACAAATTTTGTACTACTTGAATAATAATTGTTTCAAAACTAATTTCAATTTCTATCTAGCGTTCGCTTTTGAAAGTAGGTATAGTACGAGTTAGTCAACAGATTCTTATAATGACTATTTTATAATAATAATAATAGTTCCCGTATATAGCATACAAGGAAGATAATGTGGCTAGCACTACGCTTCAACCGCCTATTATTACCTCAGGATTGTGAATCCCAAGTACTCATTTAAGGCTGAGTCGACTTAGGTACCCAAACATGCCGGGTGTAGGATGACTATTTTATACGAATTGTAAAAAATAGATAATAAAATAAATAAATGTAAATGCAGTATGAACATGATAATGTTCCTATTCCTTAGAGCGTCCGCACACGGGTCGTCTGGCTTTCGAAGCGGAAGCGTCTCGAACTCCGAGCGAATCTCCCTTCACTCTACCTTCGTAGGTAAATAATAGTATCAATCACTTCGACTCCGCGTCGACCGCCAAACGACCCGTTCGTGGACCTACTATTACATACGTAGGAAGTAGAGTAGAGGGAGATTCGTTCCAAATTCGAGACGCTTCCGCTTCGAGTTCGAGACGACCCGTGCGCGCCCGCTTTTAGAGTTACATAAATCTGATGAATAACTTTCAATGTACATAATGATCCCAGAAAATAGAATTAAAAATAAAGTGTTCTGGTGTTAGTATGCCTTGTTACGAAAACAGGAAATAAGTAGCTTAGCGGTAAGACTTAAGAATCGGTATGAAAATCCGTCAAACCTGTATGCTTTATCTAATTTGCTTGAATGATCTCATTCTATTAAATAACGGTTTAGAACCCTAAAATTTTAATGATCATAAACGGCAAATCCCTATACCGTTTGGTGGTAATAATGAGACCTCGCCGTTTCGCAGTTTAATGTTAGCTTTAGACTTGATCATAGTTTAGTTAAACCCTACTCTAAATTCGCGTACAATATACAATGTTAAATTATTTTACTAGAAAATGTTGCACAAAATAATTCTGAAGTAATTTACATGTAAATTATTGAGCCTCTATCTCGTAAACTGCAGCATTTTATCGGAAATACCTAAAAAAGAGAGGACAGTTTAATTCAGCCAGTGACACTTTTTTCTTTATTTTTTTGTGTTTAAAATATGTAGGACGTTTAAAATCATTTTCGATGGCTGTCTATAAATATTGCGATTAAAGAGACTAGTACATCGAATTATTTTGGTCGAATTTGCTTCTATTGGTAAAATTATTTTGGCATTTATACTGGAAATGCAAAAATGTAACATTCAATTTTCAACCGATATCTCAATAAACTTTTATTTTACCTTCAATTTTGTTGTACATGTATTCTATATTAAAAATATTTCATTTTACAAATAAAATTACAAATAAATCTTTCCCAATAGATAATTAATAATCAAACTAAATATTAATTGATGCTGATATTTGGCAGTACAAGCACGTTGAAAAATTTAAACTCGTACATAATCTATACATCATTTATAGTT